CCCCTCATAATGAGCTTCTGTTGATCAAATAATTTTTCTTGAATACTTAAAAGCACACTCTTGTTGATCGATGTTGTAATCTTGCCTGAGAATCATCGTTTCTTCGGTATGATAAATCCCCAATCCTGCACAAAATTGTTTAAAAAACCCAATGTTAAGTAAATGTAGGGAAATCACACACAGTTAGATGTATGCAACTGTACACTCAGGCTACAAATAGATTAATATTATTGTTTAACCAGAAATAATATGGTCACAGGCATGTGTAATGCTATGAATCCAGGCCTCATATTCACAACAAAACTTGGTCACAGATGAATATCATAGTCACATGCCATAAGTATTGTGTTCTATATTCAACTGAATGAGGTCACATAGGTATGTATTGTTATGAAATAAAGCCACATAACTGTTCTCAAATCATGTTACAAACCAATTACAAGCATACATTTTTGTTGTGCATTCAAGCCACACACCATATAAGCCACAGCCACAGTTTGACATCTTGGTCAATGTAGGCATTGTTGTTCATAATAAATAAGGTCGCTGATGTATAAATTAACAACGTCAACAATCAGGCCACATGCAACAATCAGGTTAATCATTAAAGCCACGCATTCATAACTCCCTCGGTCACATATTGACATCTTGGTCGCATATTGATAATGGCGAGGTCACAGACATAATTTTTGTTATGTAATTAAGCCACATTTCAGGAGATATCTAGGTCACACCCAATATTGGTACCAAGAACCCTAAGCCAACGATTACACGCCGATTAAACGTCGCAAAAATTACATAAGACTTCAATGCTTCTAATCCATGAATTCCATCAACATGTTTGCCAATAAAATCATAACAACTAATACCTAAAATTATAATTACATTTTTCGAGCGCAATTTCTTCGCAATCAGAGACGCCGGTTGCTTATTAGGTGGTATTTTTTTGGGGCTAACCTCGGATTCCCTATTACTTCTACGTTCGGACGTATTGATAACCAACTTCGCGGCCTTCGAATTCTCCATTTCAGATGTCCACAGAAATTTGAGTGAAAATGACCGACTGTATTATCCACTGCTTGATGTGGCCGGACGTGACTTGTATTCTAAGTTGCCGGAAGTGAAATCAACGAATGGTGTAGAGGATTGAAAGATAGGGGGAGAGAGAGTGGGAGATAGATGAAATGGCGAAATTTTGGCACTTAGGAGGAACCGTGTAGAGGATTGAGAGATTGGGAGAGAGAGAGAATGGGAGATAGATGAAATGGTTTATTATGGAAGTTATGATAATTAAAATTCGAATTGCGATATTTAAGGAAACGCGATAGTTGCAATACATATCGATTAAAAATTAAATTATAATTTAATATTTAAATATATAATAATTAAATTAAGACCTGAGATTTACATAAACAACTTTGGAGTCTGACTCTTGCACTGTGATCTCCAAATATTTGGAATTCTGTAATTTCCACTAATTAAATTGGGAAAAAATCATATCTACCAGTTAAAGTTATATTATTTCATAAAATACTACATACTATTTTATATACATAATATACTATTTACCATATAAAATATGACCGAAAATACTGCTTCGTATAATTACTCTTATTGCATTTTATATATATTTATAATGCATTGTAACTGATGAATTTAAAGAAGGCATAGATTAAGTAGATTTATCACTCTTTCCGAAAAATATCCATGGAAAATCACCTTAACAATGTTGAATGTAGCACTGTAATTTTTCATCTTCTTCATCTCGTGATTACCAAAATAATAATAATAATAATAATAATTGAAGATGTTATGATTTTTAGCTTTTCATTTTCCAGCAAATGAATAGATATTATTCCGCGATAGCGGATTACTTGGTTGCATATAATGTGATTTAACATCAACTGCATATAATTATGTATTTGTACCCCCTTTTGTTCCATGTTTGAATGTCTGTTGTAAATTTTTTGGAATATGTGATTTAACGTGAATATGTTTGATTTTGTGTGACTAATCAACTCACTTGGCAAAATCGTTTTAAATAAGTTTCAATATCAAAGAATTTCTTTTATCGAGTCTCAGATGAGAATACAAAATAGCTTGCAAATAGTTTAAGTTGGATGGGGTTCCATTTCAGTAACTGGAGAACTTAATGGCGAAATGAGGCGTCCAGTTGATGGTAGGATTTCATTGCAGTTGAAGATGTGTGTTAACAACTACCTTACAAGACGACAATATTGTATTCAATGTTGCATTTCTAGTTATCACTGTTATATCATACCTTTTAGTTGTGTTCTTTATTATAGGCTACCAGATTTGCATGCTGCCAATCCAGTTATACTGAAACACCCGCTTAAATTACAATCAACTCTAGTTAGAATCATATATACTACAACATACTACAACAAAGTTTATTTTTTACGGCATGCATTATATGCCGTAAATAATACGTTACGGCGTATAGCAACATGCCGTACAAAGCAATGTCGTAAAAAGTGGTCCCTTTTTACGGCGTGCATAGTGCATTGTAAACGGACCGTCGTTATTAATGTTGCGGCATTCAATCACACACTGTAAAAAGCATCACACTTTGTACGGCGCGTAGTTGTACACCGTATAGAGCGTTATATTCATGTCATCACGACATGCCTAAATGCGCCATAAATGAGCATTCACCTTTTATGGCATATAGTTGTATGCCGTATAAAGTGTAAAATTCATAGCATCAAGACATGCCTAAACACGTCGTAAATGGCCATTCACCTTTCACGGTGTGCAGTTGTACGCCGTATAAAGTGTTATATTCATGGCATCACGGCATGCCTATACACGCCGTAAATGAGCATTCAATTTTTTTTTAAAATCATTTATTTATTTTAATACTAGTAAACCTGTAATATTAACAAAATAAAATTACTCCATATATAATCAAGTTTTTTATTGTTTCAATAAAAAGAAATACTGAATACGGTTCAATACAATATGCTAATATAAAATTCATCTAAACAATTCTCAAAATTTTTTGACTACTATTGTATGCGCCAATCACCATTCAACTAATAAGCTTGTGGATATTGAGGTTCCGTCATAAAACAAAAAATTATTAAACCTATCAAAGTTCACTTCTTTGACCAACAATTTAGCTACCCCACAAAATATGGATCCCCTGCACACCACGAAAATAATAAGGATATAATTAATAAGCATCCAAATCAGAAGTATATCAAGAAATACATTAAACAACCCAATCTTCAATTGAGGCCGAACATAAAGGTAAATGAAATTAAAATAGAAAAGAAGTTAAGCATACCTTCATTGTGATTATAGCGAATCCACTTCGATGTACCTACTTGGCAATGCAATTGTACTTTCTAATGCATCTTCAAAAAGAAAAAACTCAAGCATGGGACGATATAAGCTGACATTATTGATCATTTCATTAACCAAAACTCTCCAACATTCATTATCGAGGGGTACATGATGCACTAGATCATTTGGATTTGTTGATACGATTTCACCTTTTGCAACAATATCAGCTCCCCAAACCATGATAACAATTTGCACTTCTTATTTAAAAGGTTATCTAAACCATTCAAACTTCTGTCTCTAGACTATAAAATTAATATCCAGTTGTACAAATTAATAACCAGTTGTAAAATTAATATCCAGTTATACGGCTCAACTGCAACGCTGTTAAATAGCACATAACGATGAGCGACCTCTAACATTTCTTGACTCAAGGTCTTTGAATTTCCTTTAGAGATTGCATGCCCAGCAATAATTGTTTCATTCTCAAAATTCTCATTTCGAGTATGTCGAACACCTACTTCAGCAGCTTGTTTCATATAACTACTTCAAAAATGCATACATTCATCGGCTAAATAACGCTCTGCGATGCATCCTTCAGGTCTTGAATGATTTATAACATATAATTTAAGTGTTTTCATAAACCTATTTCACCATATAATAGGCATGAGATATCTAAGTAATTAGAAGACGAAAGTTTGAATAGTTAACAAAAATATAATAGTAATTTACCTTTCAAATGGATACATCCAACGATATTGTACAAATCCACCAATACAAACCTCACGCCCAAGGTGGACGGTTAAATGAATCATTATGTCAAAAAAAGATGGAGGAAGATACTTTTTTAGCATACACAAAATCACGGCAACATCCTCCTCAAGCTTTTCTAATTTATTTTTATCTGCGACTCTTTGACATATTTCATTGAAAAATACACAGTCGAAAAATTGAATTTCTTGGTCCATTAGATAAAAATCCTCTTAATGCAACGGATAACAACTGTTGTATGAGCACATGATAATCATGAGACTTCAGATTTAAAATCCTATTATCCACTAATAATACACACTTTAAAATGTTAGAGTTATAACCATCAGGTAATTTTAAATCAAATAACCTCTTACAAAATAACTCTCTCTTTTTTGGATAGCATATATGATGCTGCCGGTAGGTAATATGTATTTCCTTTCAATTCTAGATGAAGATCCTTTCTAATACCGATATTGAGTAAATCCTTATGAGAATTTAGCTCATCTTTTGATTTTCCCTTCATATGCCAAATAGTGCCGAGAATGATTTCACAAACATTCTTCTCAATGTGCATTACATCCAAATTATGACGCAAAAGTAATATATGAAAATAAAAATATAAATTTAGAAAAAAAAAGTTTAAGCAGAGAAATAACTAATTCAAAATAGTTTAAAATGACTAACCTCCCAATATGGTAGCTCAAAGAATATTGACTTTTTTCTCCATGGCCAATTAGAATATGATTTTCTCATCTTTTTTTTTTTTTTTTCCTATTTTCCCCAATTATTGCTAACATTTTTTACTAAACACATCACTTCCCAGTTAATATTTTAGGACTAGGCCTATGCTCCTTGTTTCCATCAAACCAAGCTTCTTTCGGTCGATATGGATGATTATATGCAAGAAATCTTTTATGACCCATGTATGAAAACTTTCGACTACATGTCAACCATTTTGCACATATGGGTAACCCACAAACTGGACATGCTACTTCGCCTTTCATAGGATATTCTAATAAATTCCCATAAGCTGGAAAACCATTATCTACATTAGCACAGCCTTCAAATTGAAGGTAGACTTAGTAAATCCACCATATACTTCAACACCAATATTCTACATCTCCTTTATGTCTTCTATTAGTGGTTCTAGGTACACATCTATATCATCTCCAGGTTGCTTTGGACTTGGAATTAATAAAGTCAACAACAAATTTTCCTTAGACATGCATATCCAAGGAGGGAGATTATATATAACTAGTATCACTGGCCAACAACTATACCTAGAATTTAGGTCACGAAAGGGATTAAATCCATCAGAGGAAAGGCCAAGACTAAGATTTCGTGGTTCTGATATAAAACAAAGCCATTTTTTTTTTATCAATTCTCTCCCAAGCTAATGAATCAACTGGATGACGCATTTTTCCATCTTGATTGAGTGACATATTAGTTGATATTAGTTATCGAGTGACCTAAACATTCTTCTAAATCGTGGTATAATTGGAAAATATCGTAAAACCTTTGCAAATATCCCTTTTTGAATCTTCTTAGTCCGTTCATTAACTTTCCACCGTGAAGATCCATATTTTGGACATGTATCCAAATTAACTAGATCATTTCTAAACAAGCAACAATCATTTACACATGCATGTATCTTCTCATAGCCTAAATCAAAGGTGTTCAATAACCTTTTCGGTGAATTGCAAGAATCAGGAAGGGTGTTCACATGTGGTAGCATATCTCGGATAATATCAAGAAGTTCATTAAAACCTTTGTCAGATATACCATGAATAGCTTTAAGCTTATACAAGGCAACGATTGCAGATATCCTTGTATACTTCGTGCAATTAGGATATAAAGGAACTTCGACGTCGTCATATAAATTTGAAACTTCTTTCTCTCTATCATCATTTTCGGATTCCACATTATTGTGATCCTGAAAAAATGCATCTCTGCATTCGATTTTTTCCCATGAAATACATAGGTACTATACGTAGGATCCATGCCATTAATGATTAAATATCCATACATTATATCAAAATGTTGGTGAAATCGGTTTTTGCAACATTTGCAAGGGCATATGACTTTTTCTGGATTCCCAGCATTGGTTTGAACCATATTTGCAAATTTTCTCGCACCATGTTGACATGCTTCTGAAACTCTAAACAAAGTATGCTAAATAAATAATCTAAAAAACATTTATGGGCATATTTCAAAATAGGGATGGCAATCGAGCTCGCCGGCTCGGCTCGGGCCGAGCCCCATTTTGGGGACACGGGCTTTGCCCTAGCCGACCCGTGAGCTCGCGAGCTTTTAAAAAAAATTAAAATTTGGGCTGCCTTTTAAAGGCTGTTGCTCGCTACCTTTTAAGGCAGCAGCTTAGGGAATATATATATATTATAATAAAATAAAATAAAAAGAGAAAACGAGCCTACCCGGCTCGGCCCGGGAAAAGCCCGAGCAAAAGCTCGGGCTAGGAAAAGCCCGCAAAAAAGCTCGGCCATTTTAACCGGGCCGAGCTCGAGCCGAAACTTTAGGCTCGTGAGCCGGGTCGGCTCGGCTCGTTTACATCTTCAAAATATTCTAAATTT